GCACCCAGCGGTGCTTCCTCCTCCTCCTCCTTGTCCTGCTTCAGCCGCCTCAGCTCTGGAGGCTGCCTGGGTTCACCTCACAAAGTTTACTCCCCTATCATAGTGGGGGTAGCTACTGCTGCTGAGTGCGCCTTTTTTGAGGGGGGGCCTCAGAGGAAGGTTGCCGGACCTCTGTGTGTGCGCGCGTGTGCGTGTGCGTGCACCTGTGGGGGCCTCACCCTATTCTGTTTAATTTCGCAGGTACCAATGGGGGCTTTTCTCCTTTGGCAAGGTGATTCTGTGAGGTTTTTTATTTTATTTTATGTTGTGCCCTCCTGCCCGCTAGGCGGTCACCGGCGCTCCCTCCCTTCTCTGCTTCTTTGTCCTGCTGCTGCTGGTGGTGGTGGTAGTGAAGAAGGAGCTGGAGGGGTCGTGGCTGGCGACGAGGGCTCGCGCGCCCCTCCTCCTCCTCTTCCTCCTCAGAGCCCCAGCCGGGCAAAGGAAACTCCTGGGCGGCTTCCTCAGGCTCTTGCTTCGCTTGGCGGAAAATCTGATGCGGCCCAGCCTTACCCAGACTCTGCCTCCAGCGGCCCCCCTGGTAAATTGAGTTTGAGACCCCTGTTCTATATTCATAATTCAGACAGCAGGAACTGGCTGGATATTGCTACACAATATCACGCCCAGCAAGAAAAAAAGGATACCAAACTTTAGATAGCAAACGGCAGCCTGAAAATTGATGACACCCACATCAGAAGTCAAGATGTAGTAACCTGAATGCAGTTCCAGATTTAAGACTGTCTTACATCAGTTGAACCCAATTCCAAAAAAACAAGCTCAAGGATCGCACTGAACATTTGTTGTGTATAAAATATTTGTGGTGAGTTTCATAAATATTATGTCAAAACATATTAGTTTTTCAATTATTAATAAAGTAATAAAATAATGCATTAATATAATGTATTAATTAATGTAATGTACTTTTATATAACCTGTGATGTATTTACTTGAATTCATTATATCTTTTGCGTTTTCAATATAAATATATATACAGTACATGCATTGTCCACCTTATCATTCTGTTGCTTTTAAATCCCATTACCAGAGTATTTATTTACAGTTACAGTGGTGCCTCGCTAGACAGTTACCCTGCATGAGTTTTTTCACTAGACATTGGCTTTTTGCAATCGCTATAGCGATTCGCAAAACAGTGATTCCTATGGGGGAATTTCGCTGGACAATGTTTGGTCCCTGTTTCGCAAACCGATTTTCGCTAGACGACGATTTTGACAGCTCCCTCCGCGCTCCTAAATGGGTGTTTTGGGGACCTAAACTTCGCAAGACAACAATTCAAACAGCTGATCAGCAGTTTGCAAAACGGCTTTCCTATGGCTGATCTTCGCTAGACAATGACGATTCTTCCCCACTGGAACGCATTAAACAAGTTTCAGTGCATTCCAATGGGGAAATGCTTTTCGCTAGACAATGATTTCTCTAAACAGTGATTTCAGTGGAACGGATTATCATCATCTAGCGAGGCACCACTGTACAACATATAAATCTGAAATAACAGCAAGCATATTAATTAGAAATATTTTGCTAATATGAAGGGTACATACAACTTGAGGAAATGGGTTGCCAAGGGGTATGAAAGTGAAAAAAGTTTTGAAATTATGGCTGTAGTGTAGACCATATTTCACAATAAAGAAAGGGAGAGCCTGGGAGTTAGAAAAGATTGAAACCAAAGTCAAAGATATCTATACTGTGTAAAAGACATACAGTGAAGAAAGATGGGATGGGAGGAATCAACTAATTTGAAATGTGGTATTGAAGGTGAACCTTACAGACACCATAAGCCACCAGAAAGGAAAATAAGTGTGTGATCAATCAATTCAAATCTGACTCTCACCAGAGCAAAAATGAATACATTAAGGCAACCTTACCTTGTACAAATAATGAGAATACAGAATTGAGCAGAAAAGACAATATTGCTGGGGAAAAGGTGGAGAAATTTAGACATAGGAAAAGAAAAAGACCTAACATGAGATGGGTTGACTCAACAAAGAAATCCACAGCTGTTAGTTTGCTAGACCTGGGCAGAACTTACTGGAAAAGGCGTATTGCTAGGAAGATGGGACAATAAGAAAAGAGAAAACAGCCTAAGATAAAATTCTGTTGGTTTGCAAGATTGAAGCAGAGCTGTCAATGACAGTTCTGTTAGCATCAAGACTATCCCCAGTTAGAAAGCCAAAAACAGTAAATTCAAAGCTTAAACTCACGAGTTTCTGAATATTTGTTTTGTGTTCTTTCTTAAATATATATTTAAAAATATTTAACTATTTAAAAAGTTGTAACTCTAAAATTATTTGGCCAAACTTCTCCAAATTTGACCCAGATAAAAAGCAGTCTGCTATAACTACACTATACTGTACCAAATTGTCTGCTACAACTGTGCCAAATCTGGTGCTGAGCTGAAGCGTAGTTTTAAAGTTATAATTTTTGTTTGGGTTTGCCCCATTCCTAGAATTATAGAATGTTGATTTGCTCTGCCAGCACAACATCATAGCTGCATTCTCATGCAGCAATAATATCAGGCAAATTAGACATGAATCTTGCAAGATACAAAACTATAAAACTGAACTGGTAATTATATTTGGGAGACAGGGAAGACTTAACTAGCATGAGAGATTTTTTAAAAAGTTTGATGCCATTACTTAAAAATATGTTAATTAATTAATTAATTGTTATTTGTTAATAACATTTTACTGTTAAGTCTCTTTTCATTCAAACAGCTTTTTGGAATAATCCAGTCACTGTGGACTATGCTAACATTTTCCCCAGCTCAAATTTATGTATGATACTTGGATATAGTTAATATCCAGCATGTCAGAGCTTAATACCAGCAGTTCAGACTCATTATTTTAACAGAGAAGTCAACAAACACAATGAAGATTATGTAAGTTTAGTCTGGATTCTTGTTCAATAAACAGAGAATTCACACTGCTGTTAGCTTCAAACTTTGGCAAATGCTACAA